AGGCAGGGAATGCCCAGTGAAGAACTCCATGGTCAGTTGAGAAGCCTATGGTTGAATGCGTTCAGAGGGATGGGTTAGGAGGACCCCCCCACCCTGTAATAGTGGTATAGTAGGAATATAGTAGGACCCTAATATAGCCCTTATTATCCCATATAGCCACTATTACAGGGTGGGGGGTCCACCTAAGGGATGGGCATCGCGTGGAATGGATCCCTGTGTAGTTTCTGCGTTCTCACCTGTCACATCTGTAATGGTCCCCATGAACCGTTCCCTTTGCCCACCAGCCGCCAACCAGTAAGGAGAAAAAAACCTAAAAACCCTAAACTTTAAACCTAAACCCTAAATCCTAAACCCTAAACCCCAAATCCTAAACCCTAAACCCAACGACAAAGCTGGCTCTCAGCTATGTTCCAGAGGCTGCCCTCAGTGTGGCTTCACCTTTCGCGGAGGCCGGCTGTGATGACTGTGAGAGCACCTACAAACACCTGGACTTGTATGATTGCTATAAACCCCTTTATAGGTTTAGGGTTTGGATTTAGGGTTTAGGGTGTAGAGTTTAGAATTTGGGGTTTAGGGTTTAGGGTAAAGTTCCCCTGATTTTGGAAAATCGTCATATACTCTCCATAAACCCTGTGTATTCCCTATGTCTGCTTGGCGTCTCACGCTTCTGCAGGCACTCCTGGCTGGTCATCATATCACCGAGTTCCAGGACCTGGGATTCAATCCATGTGTTTGACCTGTGCAACACCCCGAACCCAAAATTAGGGGTACTTTTTTGGGGCTCCCTGTAATAAGGGGCTGTATATTGGGGTCACTCTATTTAGGGAAACTACCATATAAGGGGGTTTGCTACCCTCCCCAAACTCAGCAGAGATCCCTAAGAATGAGTTTTTTTGATGTTGGGGTTGCGGTTTCTTGAGGGGGACGGTTTACTCAAGCTCCAAGAGGGGCTAGTAACCTCCCAGCAATGAAGGATGTGGCACCCCGCTTCCTGGCAGAATTGCTTGCGAAGAACAGCGCAGGCAGGCTGAGCGTTCACGCAGCAATCTGAACACAAAAGCTGTAGTCGGGGACTCTAATAGAGTTTCTTAAAGTTGCGTATTAGGAGGTTAGACAATGGCTCACATGCAAAGCGCTAGCAGCAGCACCACCACTAACACAAGGGGCCCGCAGCATGTATGACATCATCCCTAGCTGGTAAATGAGCAATAATCGAATCTCTGTAAAATTTTTCAAGCAGGGTTCGGGGTTTTGAGTCTAAACTCCGTGAGGAGGGTTATATAAGGGATGATTCTAGGGGACTACTATAGAGGTTATTCAGCGCGATACTAGGAGTTTAGACTATAGCTCAATGTGGTCAAATGTTGTTGCCTGATGGCCAGTGTCAAGCCAACAGAAACTAATGGTAAATCAGGCTGCCAAGTTTTGCTGTGGCGTTGAATAAGACGGTGTAGCAGGCAATCTTGGGTGAACCATTTTTTTGAGCAGGTTTTCATTGACAGATTGAGCAAGAATATGCATTTACTGGAATTGTTGAACAAACATACTGGTCCAGCGCATGCAGGTCTCAGAATTGTGGACATGCTTTATTGGAGGTGAGAAATCACGAGAATTTGAGGGTTCACGGTTTTATTTTGGGCCGGTAATCACCTTCTCGAAGGCCGAGTTCGCTACCTGTCAGGAAGGAGGATTACTTCAACTCTTAAATTTCTGGAGGGAGTTCGAGTTGTGAACGAGCAATTGGCCTCTAGATGTTTTTTCAGTTGACTTGACTGATAAAGAGAAGCATTATCATTTGAGTTTAGATCCTCTACCCACAAGTAGTCATCACCAGAAATAATCATGGTCTGCAAATCTAGAGCCGGCAATCCTTTCATCAGCCAAGACTACGTGTCTCCGGACATTGCAGCCAACAGGTGAAGCAATTTCACTTGCAAACCCTGCCAGACATTAAGCCCGCAAAAGCAGTGTGAACCCGTACTATCATTGTTACTAGTAGCTACAAACACTGTTACTATTGCTGTTGCTATTGTTTTTGTTCCAATTACAAGCATGCCCTACTCGCGATAGGCCCAGACCCGCAGAGCTGGCGTTTGCTGCTGCGGACCTTGGACGCTTTCGATGAGGCAAATGGCAAAGTCGTAGCTCTTGAGGAATCCCAAAATGAAAGTTTGCCAAATTAAGGGTATCCTTTTGGGGGTCCCCATAATAAGGATGATAGTATATGCGGGTCTACATTGGGGTCCCCCTATTTTGGGAAACTACCAAATCGCTTTAACCAAAGTATGCCCGACTTTTGTTTTTTAGACTCTCCTTGGTGCCTAGCTTGCACCTTAGACCCTTAACTTTTTGGGATTCCCATATATTCCGATTATAGGTACTTGAAAGTGCATTTTAGCAGGGGTCCTCAGTTCCACGCAGGAATGTCATTACACTCCCCCAAACTAAGATGAAAATCCATATAGCCCCCCCTTTAAAGGGACGGCAGTCTTGATAGGGCCCTTTTTGGGTTTCCATGTTAGTTTCTGGGAGGGTATTCAACCTGTTGTGAACTGTTCGGGTGCTTTGCGCGTGCTTGGAAATTGGATGCACAGGGCCTTATCATCACCTCTCTGCTGCAGGCAAGCCTCAACTTCAAGGGGAGAAATACTAAGTTTCCCTAAATAGGGGGACCCAAAATATTATCGTCCTGATTCTTTGGTACCCCCAAAATGGTACCCCTACTTTTGGGAAACCCTCAAATGGGGCCAGGTAGAGCTGCTGGCAAATCTGCTGAAGTCGTCAGGCGCGCATGTTAGGGTTTAGGGTTTAGGGTTTAAGGTTTAGGGTTTAGGGGATTGCCTGACAAATGCTGTGTCAGTAGAACTGCAGGAGCAAGCACAAGGGTGTTTTTCGATGGGAGGTCATTTGAACTATAGTCTAAACTCCTCAAAGGAGTTATGTAGGGGTTATTTAGGGGACCACTATAGGGGCAATTTAGGTGGATACTAGGACTTTAGACTGTAGCTCATTTAGCCCTATACCCTATATAATCCCTATGTAATCCCCCCAGAAGCCCCTTTTAGAGGTAGGACTATAGCTCATTTAGTAGGGGAATGAGGGGAATGGACAGGAGCCCATGCCCCAGCCCCTCGGGCTGCTCTGTGGCTGGCGCTTGCAGCTTCGCTGCGCCGTAGCCGGGGCCTTTGGTATCCTGGGAAATTCTGTGGCCTTTCGCAACGGCACGGCAGAAGATATACATGGATATAAGCTATAGTCGAAACTGCTTCGGGGGGTTGTATAGGGGAGTATTGCAGGGGTTACTAGGAGTTGAGACTATAAGACATTTAATGCTGTAACAGAGGTACTGGTCATTGTCTAAGAGTTCTAGGCTTGCAAGATATTGCTCAGGATTGGCACGCCAACCTGGAGAGATTGCTCGGGATGAGGTGGCTGCATGCAATACTCAGGTGCTTTTTGCAGGGTCATTTGTTCAGTGGCCCTCGCACGAGAGTCGTTCTGCGCGTTCTACATGCCTCCGACTCTGGTGCAGACTCTACACACTCTCTCTCTTTTTCTCTCTTTGTCGCTCTCTCTCTCTGTCTCGCTCTCTCTCTCTCTCTCTCTATCTCACTCTCTCCCTCCCTCTCTGTCACAGGGCTAGCCCCGAACTAGCAAGGCAAAAGGGCCCATGAGCCGTAATTACCCCTAATAATCAGGGTTTAGGGTTTAGGGAAAATCAGGTATTCCCTAACTGTGCTCTTAATTTGCTGGGGCCCATAGAATGGGGGCCCCATGAAGGGTTCTCAAAGATATGGCCCTGTTTGGATGCCCTACATATTCGTATTATGCTAGGGAAACTTTTGGCAACGTACTAACTATGCAGGGAATCATTCAGGGTGCTCCGTATCTACATTTACCTGGGCGCCTGTTTGTTAATTTCCCACCTGATTACCCTAAACCCTAAACCCTAAACCCTGAACCCTAAACCCTAAACCCTAAACCCTAAAGAGCTCTTGCATACTAACCATCTCAGCCATTTTGGACTGTCTTCAAACGGGAAAGCATGTCCG